CCCCCCCCCCCCCTCCCCCAACTACATTTTCACCGATTCCCTGTATTATCGACATCATTTCACAAAAGGAATGCGTAGTTCATATGAACACTGTTTGTGGAACTTTATTCAATGAAAAACCAATAAAGAAAAGCAGTTATTAGATTCCCAGTCCCAAAAAAAGTTTGCTGAGTTCAATCTAATGCTCAAAATATCCCAGTGTGCTGACAAGCGCGAGCGAACGAAAAGTGAGAAGGCAAGTCATTTTCTGTCATGAAACGAGGTGGCTTGACGGTGGTTACGGTCGATCTCTTTTCAGACCTACAGTCAGTCATTGCATAACCAATTCAATCACTGCAGGTTCAAATTGACATTATGGAGAATTGAAAAAGCTCGGCTACTTTAAAGGTATGGTAAAGGCCATGGCCGCGGCCTACCAAGCCTCTGATTACACTGGTGGCAACATCCACGTCAATCTGGAAGATCTAATGAAGAGAGATTAAGAAAAAAGAACAGAGAAGTAAACTGAATTATTGCCACAGGAGAGAAGTTAGCTCTAGCACAAGACAGAATGCAAAAAGAGTTAAACGAGAACATGTTTGAAGAAATTCTGCTCGATGAGGGGTAAGAAGAGTTATCACAAAGAGATAAAAACGGATTGTGGTTCAACCTGACAGACCTCGAATGCTGTCAAAAAGTTGAGCTGATTCGCAGCGTTCGCTACTTATAAGTGAAAATAGAAATGAATCTCAACACACCTTCGTGAGAGGAGTTTGACGACATACGATTTGAGGAAGACAGAAGCAGAGTCAGTGAAATCTAACTCGAAGCCTCGGAAATAGAAAGGATGAACCAGAAGTTCGTCAGCTGGAAATGCCCAAAAAGATCGACGGGCAACAAATATGGCGGAACATAGCCCTTGAGAACTAGATGGCTTCAATGCCTGAGATGAACAACGAGATTAGAATCACATGGAGATCAGCCAATGTCCAGTTCTTCGGAGATCCTTGGAAGGATAATGTATTTTAACGTGCAACTTTTCTGAAGTACATCCTATCCTTCTCGAATAGAAACAAGGGACAATTGTTGAGGAACTTGCTAGTGGATGAGGTTTACTGTTCAACAGTCAGATGATGACGCTAGTGAAAATTAAATCAGGTCTGTGATTTATGTTCCTAGTCACCACAATTTGAAAAAAGCCCAACGATCATGTGAGGAAAAAAGGTATGTACCAGTGATAACATAGAATATCCAAAAGAAAAAAAAACCAAAGTACTGAAGTACAAAGTAGGGAATACAGAGAATGAAGAGGCCTCACGAAGCTTGCAGCTTTCTGTTTCGAAACATGCCGAAATTATGCAATCAGCTACAAAATTCCCATTCTAGAGGAATCGTTGGGATGGAAGCAAAAGATGCTTGACAAGCTCTATACAGATAGCCATCCTAAGCGCATCCAAGTATGTTATTTTCGCCTGCGTATTACGTCGTTGAACATGAAGATGCTCTTTCAATGAAAATCTTATCGTTCTATTCATTTGAAGTGTCGTCTAGTGCTGGTAAAAACAAAAAAATCGCACATTCAAATCAAATATTTCATCTTCGGTTCGTTTTTTTTGAACATGACTTTCACAAGTGTACAAAATAAGAAACCTGATTAAGGCCTTCTCCACAAGGTTCCTTCCCTCGTATCGTGATCCACTTCGACGAAATCCCGTCTATGAACACTGTTCCGTTCCGGCGGCCAAGGGTATCTGTTAGTGCAAACACTTATACTCAAAAGACGATAACATGTTCGACGTTGACCCATCCAATTCTACTTAAGATTTCTACGATTTCACTGAGAATTGTACTGCGTGCAAGATGCTTGGTAATGTACATGCAGGCATCGGCTTTCGTTGTATGATAAATCGCCCAATGCGGAGCACCCAATCATCGATTGGTATGAACAAAGTTCTTTTGGGTCGGTGTTCCTTTGACCCGTTGAGTACCCCGGAAAAACGATCAAACGCGTGGCTGGGCGGTTTGTTCCCCCATGTGATATGAATAGGCCTACTGCTGTCAGTTTGACGCAATTACTCACCAAATTTTACTTCCTTATTTGATCCCTCGTGTACTACAATTTTTCCTGTATGTATTGCCTCTCGAAATTCAAAAGCAGTTCTCCTTACTCGAGCAGTATAGAGCTGAGTAAGCTACCGTGCAATTTATAAAGGTATCTTGTCTTCTAACAAAGCTGATGCCAAAATCAAGGAAAAAGTATAAGATTAGAATGTAACTATACTGCACTACCAAGCATGCGTAACAAAATCAACAATTTATTTCAACAAATAACAGAATTACTTCTTAGAGTCGAAGTACTGTTGTAAAACTTGTTTCCCAATCTCTTCATTCCCATAGTCCTTGACGACAGCACAGGAACATCCTACAACTTTGCGAGCCTTGCCCTCCTTGTCGTACTTGCACAGACCGCACCATTCTCCAATGATCTTCTTATCAGCAACCTTGATAAGCGGAATGTTGTGCTCGTTGCATAGGGCTTCCACCAGCTTGACATACATTGGCTCGTCACAGTTCTCTGCGAGAACACAGAAATGCGCCTCACGCCTGAAATAGCACAGCTACATTGGTTCAGAAATAAACAACAACAGCTAACGCAATTGTTCGCCTCCTTTGGCACCCAACAATGCGAAAAAAGACAAAGTGGATGTGGCAAGTCAGCATATTTTCTCGCACACGACAGGTAGAGAACAGATCAATGGCAGATCAAGTACTCTGTTTTTGTGTGCCAAAATAATAGTTATAAATTACATACTTGTCGAGTGCCTTTGCTGCCTCATGAAGACCTTTGGCAAGTCCATCAGCGAAGTTAGCAGATCGTAAAACCGCTTTCAGGGCGGCTTGCACGTCCATAACAGCTGGGGCTGCCGATGGGATCTTGACTTCATCTCTGCAAACGTTGGACTAAAACTATGGACACATGACGCACAACAAAATACAACATAGAACACGAACCCTCCTGCGTCAGCCATGTTCCTTCGCAAGAGTCCTTGATGACCTACTGAAATGTACAGCAATCACCTCCTCTAGCAAAGCAAAGGAACGAGACGGACACAAAATTACGAGTACCACACAAGAAATGCAAGCGCTTTCCAATGTACTTATACAGAGTTTTCAAAGTTCTTTGGGGGTATGAAAGCTTCCACCCAGGCTTCGCATAGTGTCGAAAGTCAAATAGAGTTCACAAATGTCATTCTGATGCATTGCTTGAGTTATTACCGGAACTAATCACTATTCAATAGAAACGACAAGATTTCCCAACGAAAAAAAAGGTCGACGAGCAATCTTCACTGTAAAAACGGTCACCAAACGACCCCCGTTATATCCCAAAATGCGATCGTGGCCTGCGTATCGACTTCTGCTTTAATACACTCGAAGTTGACGCGCAGATTACGCGGAGCGCATTTTTGGAGTTAGAGCGCGTCAGTGGCGATACCTTTCAAAAGCTCCGAAGGGGATTTAGTTTGCAGTGTTCATTGAAAATTCGATAAGATCTCAGTACTGAAGGGATTTTCGGTATATCCATGCTAGGAGATTCTGAGACCTTGAAATGAGACGCAACAGATTCATCAAACAGGATCTACGCTTCACCAAGGTTTAAAAAATTGTGGAAAGCCGCTGTGTTGGATTATCATTATAAAGAAGTCCAGATAAAGGTCTAGCGTCAGGCTTTTGAACTGTGTCTGTTGAAAGTCTAGACACTCCATAATTAAGGAAATGTATCCCCACGGGCTAAGCATGGTCCTCCACAGGTTCTATGAGATACATTGACAGAAGATCCGAAAAGAATACACGAGACCCAGACGACTTGAAGTTCCGGAGCTATTCAGACAGTTCTCGGCATAATAAGCCCAAAAAAGTACCAAAGTATGCTAGGCTCTC